CTGCCGTACACAGGAATACAAGGGAAGAGTCAGGCTTTCATCCGGAGTGAAGATGTGGTATATTGCTTTCTTCTCCTCCTCATTGGTTACCCTCTATTTTCTGTTCGGTGCAAGGATTGTTTCAAGGTTCTGAGCATGGGGATATGGGCCTTGTCTATTAATAGATAGAAACATCAATTTACCAGTTGGTTGCCCTAGGCAGGAAAGGCTGCAAGCCAGGTTGATTAGGGCCTTTGTTGCACTTCTTGCCCCAACTGTGAGGGGAATGCTGCCGGGGGCCAGTTGCGTGGATGGAATGACTGTACCTACAGTCGGCTGGTTTTAATAACAGTGAATTGAATTAACTCAATTGGAAAAGATTGGTAGCTGCTGTCATCATCCTGTAGATCTGCTTTAAAGAAGAGTCTGGCAGAAAGCCGGGGACCTGTTCTTGGGAAAGCCAGGGCAGATGCTGCTGGAGAGGAACAATACGTTTCTTTCTGAGACTATTTCCATCGAAATGGGTTCTGTGGCTGGAGACTGATTGGCTCCCAAGACACACATGAGGTGGGAAGCTGTGTGGCAGACAAGGGAAATCAGGGAGCCCCTCCGTCGTGTTTCTCAGATGTGTTTTACCTGGCCCTAGTTGTATGGAAAGAAAAATGTTGTAGCTAAAATTGAACAGTCAGGAAATTTCATGCACAAGTCCGTATTTCTGATTTCCCTCAAAACAAAAACAGGAAGAGCGATGGGACACACATCTTCCTGTTTGCGTCTCTGCTGCTTGTAGTATACATCCTTGCTTCCTGTCTGGCCCTGGGAAGGTCCTGCAGTACAGCATGGCGATTCAGAGCATTTTGGAGTTTCGATAGACCTTCACTGGAGTCCTTGCACTATCACTAAGAGCTGTGTTCCACAGGGCGATACCTTTAACTTCTGGACACGGTTTTCTCATGTGGGTCGTGGTGACCACCTTTCCAGGTTGTGGAGAGGTTTAGATAAAGAAATACTTGGAAAGTATATTGCTCGGTACCAAAAGCATGCTCAGGGAAATGAGCGTGTATCATTCAGATTGATGGAATTTGTGATTGCACTAGATTATGTAATCAAGGTTTTTGTTAAGTGAGCTGGAGGAGAACCCTTTCTCACAAAAGGTGTGTGCAGAGCAGAATGAATAGCAGATAAGGATTATGGTGGATTATGCTGGCGTGGAGGAACTGAACACCAAGATGAATGTTGGCACTGCACTGTAATCTCTGTATGCCTACTTTTCCCCTCGTGTGTTGATCCCAACCTCCCATTTGCCTGCTGGAGGACTGCCAGTAGAAATAAGATCCTGTCTGAAGGGCTTGTTGGTTTCTGGCTCAGGAGCAGCATTCAGGGTAACAAGTGGGCGTATCCAGTGTGAGAGCTCCATAGCCCATCTCTAGTCACACCTACACGTACTTAGTTTGTAGGAAGAGTGCAACCCCCAACAGCAGGTACTAGCTGGCTGCAGAGGGGGATGTTATTTATCTCTCCCCCATTTTTCCTTGTGAATGACCTCTGAGTTGGTAATTGACAGGGATTATTGCCATTTTTTTAATCTCTGCTAGGAGGCTGCTGGAGTCTTCCCTCATTTCATTATCCCGTTATGATGGAGCAGGATCCAGAGAGCACCCAATTTACCCAGACCCAGCGAGGTAAGGCCAAAGTGAGAAATGGCACCAGGTGGGGGGAGGGGCGGCCCTCGGGGTTGCCACGCTGCTGAAGCACAGTCTGTGCCTCTCTGGTCCTGGTGCTCTTTACTCTGCAGCACAGTGTGAGACAGGTGGTTGAGGTGATTGGGAAGTGTTGCAGGTAAGTGAACAGTCCCTCTGGTGACAGGGTTATGACCCAGCTCTTGTCCGTTGGGGCTCATTTCTGCAAGCGAGGTACCAGAGGAGGGACCCGAGGAGGCCACAGGAGAATTGCAAGAGGTTTTTTTTTCTGTTGGCCAGAGAGGCTGTGGCCATTCAGATGGACAGCCAAAAGGGGAACAAAAGTTATTTTTCTCATAGGGAAATTACAGGTTAAACAAACAAAAACCTTATTAGCTATCATTTGAGAGGGAATTTAGAATATCCAAGGAAAAGGTACAGCTCTCAGATGTAGAATTTTTGGAGACGACCTGAAGGAAGGATGAGCAAACCAAGTGTAACTGAATGAGACAAGTTGCTGCTTAGTTTCCACCTGTTAGAAGACACCTGAAGAGTCCTTGAAGAGATTAAAAAAGCAAGGCAAAGCAAAGCATTTAGCTGAGTTCAGGGCCTGCCCTTTCCTGACCCTGGCAGTGGAGGATCGAGGATGGGATGTTGAGCTGACCTATAGCATAGTAGCATGTAGCACCCTGAGAAATCAGCACCCTGCAGTTGTCACAGCCAGATGTACTGAATCCGTTAGTGACCTAGCAGCGCATGGTCACAGGTGAGGTTTGTCAGAGAGGGTGCTTTATAACCGTGAGGTTGGCAGATTAGCAGATCGGAGCTAAACGAGTCTTACTCCAGGTCAGAAATGTGAAGTCCACTTGGAAAAGCCTTTAGACCAAGTTGATACCAGGGATATTAAATGACTTTGCTGTTGCCACAGTTCCGTCATGAGCAGCAGTCTCTGTGAGAAACTGGTGAAAAGATTCTCCATAGTCCTCTTTGTTGTCCACATCCCAGTAATAGAAATCTATGGGGACATAGGATTGATGACTTCAGAACAGGTTGACAAATTAGATGATGACGGAAGCAAGGAAACTTATACTAGTTCTTAATTATTAATGTTTGAAAAAGCACTAAATAAAGGAGGACATTTTTACATGAGTCAAAAACACTGAGATAAGACCTTCCTGTTCTAACATAGTTTCCTCTAGGACAGTGATGGGAGTTTCCATCCCCAGAATTTTTAACCTAGCCGAATTCAACCATTATTCTTTAAGACCATTATTTGTCCTCTTTTCATGCAATAAATCTGTTATTCCTACTCTGATATCTTTGTCGTGATACTTTGTGGGGTTGGTATTTTTTATATTTTCTTTTTGAACACAAAATAGATTTCTTTTTTTGGAGGAGAAAGTGCTTTTCCTTGAGGATTTATTTTGTCTTTGAACACGTTAGAGTTGTTAGGTGATTTTCCAGCTCTTCAGTAGGAGAATGAGTGTTATTAGCTCATTACTGATTGCTTAATTTCTTTTTCCTCTTAGGCTTCCCCCTATACAGTATCGGCTTTCTCCCCAGTGTTCAGGTCCTTAGCTTCCCTCTGGATACCTACAAGAACGAGACTAGGATGTACCTGTGTTAAATTACTGTGTTTGTATTTAATGATCGTGCCAAGAATCCTTTTTTTTTTTTGCAGTTGGTGCATTATTTGTAACTTAGAGAATTCTTCTATTAGAAAGAAATGAAACAATTGAAATTACCTAATGCTGAAATTGTATCCCTACATAAAAGGCAGTCTTATTTATTATCATCAGCATCAACACATTATTTTTTACCTCTGTCATAAATAATATAATTTTTCCATTAGTTAGGGTAGGCCATAAACCAAGAAGAGGGTATATTTATGTTAGTTTTTCAGAACTGGTTCCTCAAAAAAGGATCTTTCCCCTCTTGAAACTTTTTCCTGTTAATATTCTTTCCTAGACTCATCAGTTTAAGAATTTAACCAATAATGTTTGTTTTGTGCTGAAGATATCTGTATATTTGGTAGACATAAGAATAACTCAAGAGCATTGACTTCTATTGAAAATTTAGGATTTTTTGATTCATTCTTGCAAAATGCATGGGAAGAGGGGTCCAAATGGATAGTGAAAGTTTCATCACTTAAGGCTCTTAGGAACAGATTCTTACACTCTGGATAACTTGAGCAAGCATCTGTGTATTCCCATTCCCACCTGAAAAGGTAGTTTGGATTCAGTAGCATATTATTCTGTAACACAAACTTTCGAGTTTCAAATATTGTCAGCCAGCCTCCTTGGAAGTTTGATTCAGTGGTTGGCCAGGAGGGCCCCAACTCTGATAACAGGCATTTCAGAGGCAGCATCAAGCCCCCGTAGCAGTTGACTGTAACATCTCCATTGGCCTGGTCAGTAGGCTTACCAAGGACCTCTTATGTCCTAATGTTTCATGACTCTGAGACTTTCTCCACAAGAGAAATACTTTTTGTAAATACTTTTTGTATCATTTGGATAAAAACTATTTCTGTTTCCATTTTCAATCAGGTGTTTTGGACTTCCTTTTTTTTTTTTTTTTTCCTAAGCAGAAGACACTTTTTTCTTTTTTGTTCAAACACTATAGATTTATATAAAATGTGAGAGTGCCTAGGTATACCCTTATTAGGATTGCTGTGTCTCCTTTTAATTTTTTCCCCTTATTATAGCAACTTTTCTTTCTTTCTTTTTAAGTTTTGCTATAGGGTGCATGCACTTTCGAGAGAGGGAGAGAGAGAAATCATCATCCTCCTGGAGGGGAGGAGAGGAGGATGGCCATGCTGCAATCCCTGTCTTCTGTCTCCTCTTGAGATTTTGGGCATGCATGCACATGCGCCTGACATGTTTCTCAAGCTACTGGGTCCAAGGCTCAGACTCAGACTGTGCAGCCGACTATGCAGGACCCTGTGCCCTCACCTCCACTCTCTCGACTGCCCTATAGTAGCATGTCTTTGCATACGTATTAGTAAATACATACCATTCTTCGCATTTTCCTCCACTTTAAAACTTATTGTAGAGGACTTTGTGAGCTTATGGGGATAATTCATTCTACATAGTGTTTCTCTGTGTGGATGTCATTTATTTAATCTGTGGCTGGGCATTCGCCTTGTCCAGTTTTTCAGTAAGGCGGATAATGTTGCAAGTGCACTTCCTCCTCTGTAGTACGTTTGTATTCTTGTGTGTTTCTGTAGAGTAAGAGTCCTAGTGGAATTATCGAGTCAAAATGTGTGCCTCAGATGGGTTTAAGTCTTGAAATCTCTTAACAACCTATATAATATTATTGTATAAAACGTTTTTCTGTTGTTATTTCTCAGTTTTCAGTTTGTAACCTCTAACAGTGTTGTGAGAGAGGATGGATAAGCTTGGGACAGAAGGGAAGGTGGGGCGTTGTGTGGGTCACTGGAAGTTTTCATGGAGTATCAAGATGCTAGTGCTGTAGTTTGAAGAACATAGGTCTAGATTAATGATTTCTAGTATAGCCACTGTAAAGGACAGGACAGATGGGTAGCTGCTACCTTGTGTATGCTCAGTGCCCACGTAGCTCTGATGGTAAGAAAGAGAAATATCTCTGTTTTCTGTTAGATTTTCACTTCTCCCAAGTATATTTTACCCTCCATTTCTATTCTGAATTCTTTCTCCATGTTACAAATATCTCTGATTAATTCACAAGAGAGAGATGAGAGGTTCAAAGAGATCATTTTAAGGAGGAAGGCCAAATCTGGAGCCATGTTTATTTGTTGGAGAAGGAAGAATTTCTGGTGGAGGTACCTGCGGATGCCATCTTTAATCATCCAAAGTTTACCATCATCCAGTCTGTTTTCTCATTTATAAAAGGAAAGCGTAGATGATTGCTAAGCTCTTTCTCATTTCTTACATTTTGCATGTGGATGGTGATCAAGGAAAAGCTGTGAATCTGTATAATGAGCACCCTGAGAAGCAAAATGGGGTCCCTTCAGAGGCTAAAAAGAAAGGTCCAGTGTTATCCTCTTGGGAAAGGGCAGCTCTTGATCAGAAGATGACTGATAAACTGCCTGTTTGCCTTATGTAAGAACAGAAGCGCTGGTGATAGTCTGAGAAGCAGATTCTGTAGTACAGAGCCTCCTGGTGAGTTTAATGCCCTTCATTTCTCGTGTCTCCGGAGTTCACCTCAGCAGGGAGAGCCATGGGAGAGCTGGATTTACTGTCTTTCACAGTATTCCCCACATTAGTGCTAGCTTGTGTTTGTCCATCTCTGTCTCTCTCAGATTATCTCCTGCTGCATACTACGCCCAGAGGATGATCCAGTATCTCTCTCGGAGAGACAGTATCCGCCAGCGCTCCATGCGCTACCAACAGAACCGTCTCCGTTCTTCCACCTCCTCCTCTTCCTCAGACAACCAGGGTCCATCAGTAGAGGGAACCGACTTGGAATTTGAGGACTTTGAGTAAGTACACACTCAGCTTGCTTTCTTCCCTCTGCTCCCAAGTCGTGAGTGCTTCCAGGTTGGCCGTTGTGTGAGCAGCAGTGGTGGACGTTGCTGCTGCTCACCCCCAAGGTATTATTTATGAGTAACAGGATGTAGCGAGGGGCAGAGGGTTAAATGTCCAGAGCACTCCCATCTCTGGCATTGGCCCTGCTGATTCACTGGAGCCTGTGGGAAGAGACAGCCCATTGGGCCCCAGGCCAGAACGGGAGAGGATGGCTGCCGCTCTCCAAGGCAACATTTTTATTCCCCTTTTGCACTTACAGTGATGGTGGAAATGCTTCTCGTGGACTGTCTCCATGACATCAGGGAGGCAGGAGGCTTGGTGTGTGTCCCCTTAAGTAGAGCAGAGGTGGAGATGTTCTCTTTATTTGTAAATGCTTGGCTTTCCCTGCAAGGCTGATTTCTTAGTCCCCTGATCAGACTGACGTTTTTGAGGCCCTACTCCCTTGCCTAAACTTTCTTAGTCTCCCCGGTCTTCCTCCCCACCAAGGATACTTTGAAAGTTGCCTGTCAAGTTAATGTGGTGGGTTGAGCGGAGATTTTTTCATTGCTTCTGCTTTTTTCAGTGGTTGGTGGGGAGGGGAGCGGGGTGAGTTAAAGGAGCAGTGTCCTCCACCAGGTTCCAGGATTCAAGCTCTCCAGCTTTACTGCTGGGCTCTGCTTTCTCTGACCTGCAGCTCCTGACCTTTGCAGCCGTTCGTTGTGTTGCTTTCCTTCCTGAAACTGAGCTTTCCTGGCTTAAATGAAATTCGACATTTTGCTCTTGCTTTGATTCCTATATTTTGGTTTATGCAGATAAAATAAGAGAACCAGAAGGGCGGCGAAACCTTTTTTTCCCTTCCTTTTTTGCTGACAGTATTGGAACAGGACAGCCTGTCAGTCATCCAGTCTTTGGCCCCCATCATGATAAATACCCCGGCGAGGTCTGGGTCTGGACAGTTCTTGCCTCCCTCTCACCCTTCCTCCTCCTCGCTGAATGGATAGTTCTCCATGAGCTATCTTGCAGTACAGCTTTAATGGTGTGTTTAAGAAATCTCTTTACCAGAAAGGTCTAAGAAAGTGGGAACCACGTTTGTTCTAATAGTCCTTCCTGACGCCGTTAAACATACAAGCAATTGTGTACTTGAAAGCAAAAGGAAGACTATCTGGGAGGTTTGTCTGAGGAAGATGTGATGGGGTAGAAGGAGCTGCACGGGTAGCTTGAAGCAACTGTGGCGTGGCAGATGGAACAGGGGTGGCGTTCCTCCCCTGTGGACTTCAGGGCAGAGCAGAGCTCCTCGCTGACTTTCAGCATGTGTCCCTCTCTCTCTGTCCACTCTAGGACCAGCTGTGGAGGGGACAGAGCATCTCCATTTCCTTAGCCAGGCACGCCATCGTGCAATGTGTTCTGCGGATGTTAGGGTTTTTCCAGCACCAGGGTCTATTCAGGGGAGCGTTTTAAACACACGTGCAGAGGCTGCTGGCATTCAGTGCTGCTGAGAAGGCTGGGTGACTTTCTCTCCGTGTCCTGGAGCTCAGGGAGTCCGCGCTGTGGATTGCCAAGCCCTCTTCCGCGTACTCTTGGAAGTCTGTTACCTCTTTGCAGTGGTGAAATACCCAGCTCATGCCTTTGAGCTGTACTTTGCCTCGTGACTTGTCCTTCACAATGGAGTTCTGGTTTAGTTTAAAATGTTCTGTTCTCGTCTTACCTTCCCTTTCTTCTGCTACCACCTCCTCTCTCTCCCCTTTCTTCCCCCTCGATTTTCCTGTGTCAGATTGCCTCCTCCTTATGCTCCCCCCACAGGCCCACCTGTGCTCTTACCTCCCCCCTGGCTTTAGCACGACCTGAATTTACATTTCCTTCTTCACCTTTCATGCACTTACCTTGTTGTTTTCCCTAGGGGCCTTGTATTGCTATTTGGTTAGTAACAGGCAGGTTAATTTCCCTAAACCCATTGTAAAGCCCCCTCCCTTAGCTGTTTGCCTTTCTTTTGGGGCTGATGCAGACCGTACTCAGTTTATTGTAGCAGCCGTGGATTAGTCAGTTCAGCATTACTTGTCCAGGTCTTCTAGTGAACGATGTTGATGTTGCCGTTGCTGCCGCCGTTGCTGCCGCCGCCGTTGCTGGCCAGTTGGTGCTGACTTACTATCTGGTCATTCTTTCCAGGTTTCCTTCCTGGCCCTCCTCCCCCCCACTGTAAACTCAGTGCTGCTGGTGGTCGGGTCACTCTGCTTCTCCCCTCTCCTCCCCTCCCCTCCTCCTCTCCTCTCCTCTCCTCTCCTCTCCTCTCCTCTCATATTAAAATTCAGTTCCAAGACCGTAAAAACACAGGTTCAGACACGCAAGAGGTCAAGAGATTTTCTTTCCATATATCCTTTCACTAAAAGCAACCAGAAAACTGTCTATACCAAAATGAGGACGTCAAGTCAAGAAAGGAGGAGGACACGGGATAAAGGGGACAAGAGAGCCCAACACAAAGAGAGGGTCGTCATCATGTCACACGGTCTTCTGTTATCCAACTTCCCCTCCCTCAATAAACGCCCCAGACCTTTGGGCAATATAACCTCACAAGAAAATCCGCGATCTTCATTACCCTGACCATCTCACTAACAGTGTCTAAAATCACTTACAGAACGAGCTGTGCACTGTCGTGTCTCCGACGTGTAGTCAGGGACTTTTCCCGCCACTGTACAAAGTTCCCCAACACGTCACCAGCACCTCCGCTGATGCTGATTGGATTTCCACTTGTCCAAATCTCTAGTCCAACTAGGACAATTCGAATATTTAACATAATATACATCTGAGAAGAAAGAACAATAAATCGTATAAAATATATAAAAGAATATGAGAAAATCTTTTAACCACACAAAGTAGCACAATTTGAATTAAAAAACAGGACTGCTGGGTCCAGCAGGTGGTGTGGTGGTTAAGGGCGCTGGACTCCCATATGCCCAACTGTGGTTGGAGTCCCAAACCTAGCGGCTCTCTCCCCTCCTCTCCCCTCCCCTCCCCTCCTCTCCTCTCCTCTCCTCTTCCTATCTAGGTACTCTGAGGAGAGAAGGAATGAGAAATTAAGGAATATGCCAGCCCACTTAATTTCTATGCCCTAAACTTTTTCCTTAGCTTTGATATCTAGAAGGAAAATTAGAGACTTATACAGTCATAATGTATAGCTTTTTCAGGTGTAAGAATCTGTTAAAGGGTCTGACCCCACAGTCTCGTGGTTAGGGGAGCTGGATCCCATGTGGCTGACCACAGTTTGAATCTCGGCCCTGGCAGCCTGAAAAGCACAGGGAGGGGTGGGAGTTAGCAAATGGCTTAGTGATTAAGATTCCAGACTCCCACATGGTCCACTGCAGTTCGAGTTCCAGATCCAGCAGCTTGAAACTCGTGCTATGTGTACGTGTGTTCCCAAAATCTTGAGAGGAGGATGGACTGTGGTGTATCTGTCTTCCCTAGGGGGTGATTTCTCACTTTCTGTCTATCTCCAGCAAGTGCATATGCCCTATATCAAAAATCTCTCTTAAAAAAGAAAAGGGACCAGCAGGTACTGCGGTAGTCAAGGGCACTGGACTCCCACATGGCCCACCATGGGGAGGCCTAGACCTGGGAGGCCGCCTTGCTTACTCACTTTCCCTCTCTCTGTGTCTCTCCCTGGTCAAATTAAAATAACAATAACAATAATAATAATAAGATAAAGTTAAATAATTCTTTAAAAAAAGAAATATACCAGGTACATGTGTGTGCACGCCCCAAATCCCTGTGAAACGTAGGATAAGAGATTATGGATTATCTCTTTATCTCTGTCGCTGTCTCTCTCTGGCAAGAGCATGTGCCCTCTGCAATTAAAATCGAATTAAATTAAAATTTTAAAAAAGAGAGAGAGCCGGTAAAGTACTTATGGCCTGGAATCCTCCTGACAGTTGCGATACCATTAAGAGACTGTTTTGGTTTTTGTTTTTAATTTTATTTATTCATTCATTTATTTTAATTTGATGACAGAGAGAGAGAGAAAGCGAGAAAGTGAGCCATCAGGTCCGGGACTCAAACCATGGTCAGCCATGTGGGAGTGTCTAGCACTTTAACCACCACGCCACCTGCTGGTCCCAAGAGACTATTCTATTGGATTTCCTCACCTTCAGAGTAATTCAGGCTTCTGCCTTTGCTCCCTTGCTTCTACTTCACTTTCCTTCCATTTGTGGAGTTAGAAATAATTTTACTGGGACAGCAAGTGGCATGGAGATTAAGACGGCTGGATCCCACACGACCGACTGTGGTTGGACTCTTAGACCTGGCAGTTAGAAAATCATGCCGGGCACGTGTATGACCAAAACGTGAACGGAGAATGGAGGTACAGGGATTGTGGCATGACCATTCCCCCGGGAGATGATTTCTCACTTTCCCTCTCTATCTCTTTCTCTCTGTCTCTGGTGAGCACATGTGCCCTATAGCAAACTAAGGGGAAAAAAGCCATTTTGCTATTCTTGAGTTCTTCTCCTGGTATGTAACGTCCCCAGAAAACCGAAGGAGCCATTACTCAATCCTGTCTTTTTGGGTTCTCTTCCATCATCCATTGAATGAAATGTATCAGTTATAATAATATTTTTCATACGTGTACTAGATAATATCAAAACATTTTTAGTATGTATATGCTAAAATGTACATAATATATACATTTAAAAATCTTATTTAATCCTTATAATAACATAATGAGATAGTTATTCTGTTGTGGTGCTTTTCTTTTTCTTTCCTTTTTAAAATTTTACAGAGGGTGTGCGCACTTGCCAGAGAGAAAAAGAAAGTAATAAAGCACCCTTCATGGGAAATGGTCACATTTCCTCCACTTTCCTCTCCTTTTGGGATTTTGGGCACACACACATACTCACCCTGTGTTTTTCAAGCTGCTGGATCTGGAGCTCAAACCATGCAGTTAGCTATGTGGGATCTGTCTGCCTTAACCACCATGCCACAGGGTGCC